TACTGTGGTTTTCCTAAGCTAGAAAACCTAAAATTATTTGTTAGACGTTATTAACATCTCTAAAATTTTGTGCTCTCTTCACATTCATTACAACGCTTAGCATTTCATTTGGTTAAACACCAATCACTAAATGTCCTATCACTGACGTCCAACATCATTCTACCTCCAATCTGTTCATGTTGTTGTTATTGTTATGTACCATCAAGTTGGACCCGACTCATAGCGACCCCTCGGGTTTTTGAGGCATTATCACTACAGTAGACTGCCTAACCTATCTGTTCATGTTGCTGTTGTTGTTATGTGCCATCGAGTCGGCCCTGACTCATGCGACCCCTCCTTGGGTTTCCAAGGCAGTATCACTATGGAAGTAGGATAGCCCAACCTTCCCCTTAATTAATATGTTTAATTAGTAAGTTTCAGAAAAGCTCACCCAGTGAAAAGTTCACCACGACTACCTCTGCTGCAACAGTCAGTAAGATTCATCCACCCAGCTGGCCAAAATCCAGACTCCTGTTTTCTTGGAGAAGGAATGAGAGAACTTTTTGTAGGCACAGGGTTGTTTCCAAAGTTTGGTCTTTCTGCCAACTCACCTCAAATAGTCTTTGTATTCATAGTATCTCCAGGGCTTACCAGATTTTCTACCCATCACCAACATACAGAGCAGAGTCAAGAACCAGTCACACTGATCCTAATAGATCAATCTGAGGAATAAGCGGAATGAATTCTGTTTCTCTCAATTGAAAAATCCTCTCAACTGAAAATGCAGTTAACATATTGAAAGAGTATCAACGAATTATTCTAATCATAGCAATAGACAAGCTCTAACAGTCTAGCATCCTTATTAACATATAACCTAGATTTTATTATAATAGCTTTTTTTTTAAAAAAAAGGTTGTCTCCTAACAAAGATTTCTAAATCCTGGCAGATGGATTACTTGTTTATTTCAATTTATCAATGATACAGCAAATTACCACACTATTCAAATCACACGGTGAGAACTTATGGTGAGAATTTAACTTTAAAAAAAAGAAAAAGAGGAGATTCAATATTTTAGTCTTTGAGTAAAATAATCTATTATGTCATAAACACTATCATCACTCAAATAACTCTAGTACAGTACTTGGAATACAACAGGCGCTCAATCAAGACTAGTTAAATGCCTCACTCAGCTTTCTATCAAAATATTTAAGTCAAGACATAATGGTAGCTAAAATTACTTCACAGCTAAATAAATAAATGCACAAATTGTTACTGTATATATATTTTTCCTTAAGAAATTACAAATGTTAAAGAAATATATCTAATTTTCAAATGATTGTTCCAAAAAGTGAAATACATGTGGCACAAACCTATCAATAAATAATTAATAATGGTACTCTAGTAACTAAAAGGAGTCTTAGAAAATAAAACTTCCATTCTGTTTCACTTATGGCCTTTTTGATATATATTAATAAAAATCCACAATAAAAATAACAAAAAATAAATAAATACATATAGGAAGGAAAAGAAAATTATTCAAAAGATACAAAACTACCAGCTTATTTAATCTCCAATTATCTCTTCTATAAAAATATTTACTCTCTCTGACATCTCCTTTTCATGGGTTATTTCCTTACATCTTAGGATTCCTTAAAGTCCTTGGCAACATTACTTACGTCTCCCTTGGTTCTGTTCACACCTGAAGCAGCCTTAAGACTTCTCTGCTAGTATATGTTTAACTGAGGTATCTTTAGGCATCTATATACTGTAATCAAATGGCTTTATAATTAAGTACTGTATTCAGATGGCTTGAATACAGGTATAGGGTGGAGGATTAGTGTAATTAGTGGCACTGAATATTATGTGTATTCATATGTGTAAAACACACTCATTAAAAAGCCCTAAGAGATTGTAGACATTGATTTCTCCACCCACTGGTTTTAGGGGCACTAAATATTCTAAAGAACTTTGACTTATCCTCAAAATAAATCTTCAGAACCTCTTCCTGAGTCATTTTAGGGAATAAATACTCAAAGTGAGTCCATCCAAAGGATTTCCCAGGTATATCTTTCAATTTGTTGAATAATGCTTGATCTAGGTAGAATTCTAGGTAACTTGAAAATTAATTCAGTACTCCAACTCCACTCTAAAGTGCTACACTATTAAGATGATTCTACATTATCATCAGTCTTAACAGGTACTATCTCTGTCTTTAAGATTTCAATACTTAAAAATAATCAATAGTTAGAACTAAACTATGCTAAATACTGAGAATATTCAATCCAGTCATCCAAATACCCACACAGCGAATAAGATAATACCTTTAAAATTGCTGGTTATTATTTTTCATAGTTCTTTCTAAACAAAGAAGATTAACCTCAGTACTACTATATTACTCTAACCCACTGTCATCAAGGTCATTCTGACTCATAGCGACCCTCTAGGGTAGAGCAGAGCTGCCCATAGGGTTTCCATGGCTGTAAATCTTTATGGAAGCAGATCGATTGCCTCATCTTTCTCCTGTAGAGCGGCTAGTAGGTTCGAACAACCGAATGCTTTAATCACTACACCACAAGAGCTCCTTATATTCCTCTCATTACCAAAAACAAAAACAAATTCTAATCCTGTTATATTTAGACAAATGAAAGTGAGAGAAAGTAAAAGAGAGATAGGTTGGTATGAGAATGAGTTCTCGTTTCCCTTTCTTTTAAGTCCTTAAAGAATTCAAAGACAATGTAAAAAGATGAAGGAGACTCAAAATTATTTATCTGATTGATGCCATGAGAATTTAAATGTTGTATGTAAAATAGTTAGGATGGAGGCTACAGAGCTAGAGTAGAATGCTTAAAACATTTGTCTGAAGATTTCATTTCTATAATAATACGTTCACTTGTACCTTCATATTTACACACAGTAGTATTTTGCTTAAATATTTTATAGCCAAAATCTGCCAATATTCTCTTTCTTACTTTCAGTTTGAAATTTTTCTGCAGTTTTTCTAAATTAAACCAAGGGCTTAAAATTCAAGCATGTTTCCAAAACAATTTTTATAAAGAAAAGTTGTTCATTCATTTCTATCACCCAAATTTTTAGTTATTCAGACAGTTTTTCAAAACTTTAGCACCATCCAGATTAATAGCAAGAGCTAAAGTATAATCTTTAGTTCTGCAGAGAGAAAAAATTTTAGGTGCCACAAATAATATTTTATTTCAAAATTATCTATTTTAATTATGTTGAGTTATATGACACATTTATTTGTACTATATTACTACTGAGAAATATTTGTTCACATTTATCTATATTATACTGACAAAATGGCAGTTCCATAATTTAAGAAGACACTAAAGCTCAAAAGTTGGGATAAATACAAAAATGCATTTGGATCTTTGCTGCTTTAATCATTGACAAATTTGGTGTATACCTTCTTTTATGATAACAAGTACCAGGCCACTGACTAATTTAACTTTAGTTATATAATGCCTGTAACACTCCAATAGGTTAGAAAATATAAACATCTGCTCTAGCACATAGTTTGGGGAAAGGATAATCCTTCAATGTATACCAGATGCAAGTATCTGGGTAGTATGAGGGAACTATCTTTACTATCGAAGAGTAGAGAAAGGGATGGATCATTTTAAAACGAGAACAGATTGTCTCTATTAAATAATTCCTTCACAAACTTTAAATCTGGGGTTGAGTTTCACAGAAATTTTGGAATGATATTGAACAGTCTTAGTTTCTCTTCTTTTTTGTTTAGCAACAAGATGTTGAATGTCACCTAATTTAATAACCCGGGATCAAGCTATAAATCAGATGCAGTATTCTGACATAGCCTACCTGTTGTCTGACTTGACAATTTCATTGGTCAGTCCATAAAGAAGAATTTAAGCTAACTCAAATATGCAGAAAAAAAGAGAGACTAAAACATGTCAAATATGCTTCCTGAAAAATTATGTCTCATTGCATAACTTAAAAATGAGTTTCTACCTCAGTAAACCTCTTATGTTAAAATAATCTAACATTTAAACAAACTAAGTCATTATTTGTGGTTCAAACCCACCAGCCACTCCTCGGAAGGAAGATGGGGCAATCTACTCCCGTAGTCGATACTGCCTCGGAAACCCAAAGAGGGGTCACTATGAGTCGGGTCTGACTCGATGGCACATAACAACAACAAACAAAAGTAATTATTTGGGAGCTCTGGTGGCGTAGTGCCTAAGGCATTATTTATATTACTTAGTCTGTAAAAGGAAATAAAATAAAAATAGGGATCTGGAATATTTCTTAAATCATATTTGCCAGATTATCTTAAAATAAAATCACCATCTAAAATGATTCTAATTTTAAATTTTAATATGTAAGTTTTCTTAAAAGCTCACCAAAACAAAACAAATTCCCTTCAAAAACTAAATATATAGGCCTATAAATTAGAATGGGAGCTCTGGTAGCATAGTGGCTAAGGCACTTGACTGCTAACCAGAAGGCTGGCGGTTCAAACCCACCAGCCACTCCTCGGAAGGAAGGTTGGGCAATCCTACTTCCGTAGTGATACTGCCTCGGAAACCCAAGGAGGGGTCGCTATGAGTCGGGGCCGACTCGACGGCAAATAACAACAACAACAATAAATTGGAAGGGAGGGAAATATTAAGTTGAAATAGTCCATTTTAATTATGAATTGGTAGCGAACACTGGTGATATTAAAATAATACATCAATACCCATGACCAATATGTAAATTCATAATGATACTGGCAAAATATTTTCTGGATATTTTGGTGAAGTAGATGCGTTTACTTTTACAAAATGTTTTGAGGAACAATTCTAAAAATTATACAAGGTTTGAAAACAAAATTTAAAGTTTAATGTACAAAAAGGAAAACACCAAAGTTGATAAAAATAAGTCTTTCAGTTTTCTTAATAGGTAACATTATTAATGCTTCCCATTTCAGAACATGAAGTACTTCTCTAGGAAAAAGAGAATGGTTACAAATTTTCTTTCCTACATAACTTCATGTGTCAGATCAACTTTCAGATCCTGGTTGGCTGTTATCTGATCCATCACTTTCCTTGTCCCAATCTTTCATAGATGCTCCCATCATGAAATCATCACGTAGGATATTCCATCCAGGACTCTCTTCTGATTTCACTTCAGTCTGAGGGAAATTACAGAATTGAAATATTCAAAGTCAATTTAAACAAAAAGAAATAAAAGAAGTCAAAGGTATAAAACAAACTTTTCAATACCTGGTTTTACAACAGTGGTGAAACCAAAGAGAAATTATACATTGACTTTATTTATATAATAAGATCATATATGTATACATGTATGGTAAAGAGCTACATGCTATTGAACCATTTTAACAACTGCATAAAAGAAATATGAAAGCAAAAATAAAAACAATTGTGTATGTGTGTGTGTGTAGTGGAAAAATACGGTAAAACTTAGGTTTCCTATCAGTTTTTAAAATTATTTGACAATGAAGAGCAATTCACAACATTATTTAAACTTTAGTGATAATTTCTTAGAAAAATTCTGGCAAAATACTTCAGCAACACAAAAATTTAACAAAGGCTTTCAACCTCAAATAAATTAAAGGAGAAAAAGGAAACAAACTGGGTATTATACTAGATTTTTACAGATGTTGTTATCATTAAACATTTTATAAAAATTTAAACCAATTATCCTTTATTTAGGTATGCTCTCATAGGCTGAACCAATCATGTAATCAAAAGACACACCAAAATTAGAAATAACTGAAGGAGATAATAAACATAATAATGAATCCACTTCAGTCATCCACAAGACTTACGTGCAATACTACATGAGTTTATGACTTGCAGGCTCTCATTTCATGGTACAACAGTACCACCTTGTGGTATTAAGTAAAACAATATATACAGAACTGTTCTCAGCTATGAGATTTCTTTCATTCGTCCTAGAATTTTTTATTGGGAACTAACTATGTCTCAATGGGAGCTCTGGTGGTATAGTGCCTAAGGCATCTGACTGCTAACCAGAATTCTGGTGGTTCAAACCCACCAGCCACTCCTCGAAAGGAAGGTTGGGAAATCTACTTCCATAGTGATCCTGCCTTGGAAACCCAAGGAGTGGTCACTATGAGTAGGATCCAACTCCACAGCAATGTTTGCATTTTGTTTTTGAAACTATGCCTCAAAGGAGCTCTGCTGGTGCAATGGTTAAGTATTCAGCTGCTAACCAAAAGGTCAGCAGTTTAAACCCACCAGCAGTTCCAACAGAAAAAAGAGCTGATAATCTACTCCCATAAAGGTTATAGCCTTGGAAACCCTTATAGGGCAGTTCTACTTTGTCCTATAAGATCGTTATATGTCAGAATCAACTGGATGGTACACAACAACTGTATCTCAAGCACTGTTCTTAGTGCTAGAAATATAATAATGAACAAAACAAAGTTTCTATCTTCATGGAGCTAATAGTCATGTATACAGAAAACACAATGGGGGCTCTATTTTGGACTTCCAGCAAGATGACAGAATAGGAAGACAAGATGCCAAGACCCACTACAATAAAGATACAAGACAGCAAATGAAACAGACATATATATTAATACTGAAACCCTGAGCTTCAAAGGAAAGGCTAAATAAATGAATCAAGTAACAACTAGGAAGAAGAAAATGAATGTAAACAGTGAACAAAGGAAACAAATGGAATGGTAAACTCAACTGGCCTGACAGCATGGCCATTTTCAATTTTTGCAAGCAGCAACCTGATAGTCAGCTCTACTTGCCAGGCACTGCACAGGCACCCACACAGGTAGCTGGCAACCAAAAAGGTGCAACATTTCTCTTATTCACCACACCATCCCAGTGACCACAAGACCAGCCATGTCCTACTCCACCCACCTTCTGGACCAGTAAGAGTTTCAACACAGACCGAGTCCTTTGCCCCCAGTCACCTGGGGAAAGGAGGGAACACATTCTGAGACCAGGGGCCCTGCCCCTTGCAAACTCCTGGGCTAGCAGGAACTCCTTCTGGGATCAGGAGCCCTGCCCACAGCCACCTTTGGGGCCTGCAGGAACTCCTTCTGCGATTAAAAACCCTACCACCAGCTGTCTTTTGGACCATCACAGTCTCCTTCTAGACCAGTTGCCCTGACCCTAGCTACTTTTTAGGCTAGTAGGAATTCCTTCTAGGATCAGGCACCCTATACCAAGCTGCTTTTTGGGCCTGTATGAATTTCTGCCCGGTCCAGGAACCCTTCCCCCAACTGCCTTTTAGGTTGGCAGGAACTCCGTCTGGGTCCAAGTTCCCTGATACCAGCTGCCCCCAGGATCTGCAGGAATTCCTTCTAGGACCAGAAGGCCTGCTCCTTGTTGCCTGCTCATTCAGCAGGAATACCACCTGTGAGCCCTACACTCCCCCTTTTCTCTTTTTTTTTTATTTGTTCACTCTTTTGTTTTTATTTCTTCTTTCACTTCCTTTGCTTTCTCTTCTTCCCGTTAGCTTTGTTTTCATTTTTTCCCATCCCTTTTTTTTCTTCTGGTATTTTCCTTTGTTTCTTTACTATTCTCTTTTACTTGCTCTGTTTCCCCACCTCTAGGTTTTGTTTTTGTCCTTTTGTCCTTCCCGTGTTTTTTCCTTTTTGTGGTTATTGTTTGTTTTTCCTCTTATTTATTATTTTCATTTCTCACAGTGCTGTTTCTATTTTTTGTTTTCCCATTTTTTTTTTCTGTTCCACTTGGTGGGAGTCAACAACCTGGCTTACACTGTCCAATGTCATCTGCACCTCTTGTAGCCCCATGCACTGGATGAGGGCTACCAAGTGCTTCTGCACCAACTGATCAATGACAGAAGGCATACAACACCATCCCAACCCACTTTCAACTTCTCTATATGAACAGTGATCAAAGAGACTGTGCACACATTCTCATCCTCCATCACACCCATCAGGACACAGCTGGTGAGCCGCTAAGTGCTGTCAAACTAGCAAACAGAATAGCACACCAATCCCACTCATTGATATACATTAAAAAAAAAAAAAAAAAGCTGTGCGAAACATAAACAATTACCAATTCAATACAAATACAGCAACATCCAATGTCTTGAAGACAACAGACAATCTCAGTTCATACAAAGGAAAAAGATAAAGCAGTACGAACTAAGGACCAAAATTCAGAGCCAGAAAACTTGTGATAGAAATGGCACTGGTACTACCTGATTAGGAATTCAAAAGCATTATATTTAGGTACCTTCAATGGATCAAGAGAAAGATCAAGAAAACAATGATAAAATCAAAGAAAACAGACAAAAGTCTAGAAAAATTCAGGAAAACAATACAAGAACTGACAAAATAAATTAAAGTACTGGAAACAATATAAAACTAGAAAATAGATCCACAAGATTAATACTAAGATTTCAGATACAGATAACATAAAGAAAGGGCAAAGAAGCAGAAATGAATCAATGGAAGATAGAATTAGACTGAAGATAAATCGCTCATTACTACTATTAGAACAACATCAGAAAAAAAGAATGAAAAAAAAAAATGAAGAAGAAAGCCTAAAATATATGTGAGACATCATCAAGAGGAGTAACTCTTGTGTGACCGGAATTTCAGAACAGGAAGAGACAGCCCCACCACCGCCAAAAAAAAAAAAAAAGAGAAAACTGTTGAAGATTTCTTGGAAGAGAATTTCCCTAATATGATGAAAGAAGATATGTATTCAAGAATGTCAACAAATCCCAAACAGGCAGACTCCAAAAGAAAATCACCAAGACATAAGATAAATGATTTCCAAAGACAAAGACAGAATACTGAAAACAGCTCAGAAAAAATGAAATGTTACCTATGAAGGGCAACTAAGAAGACTAAGCTTTGATTTCGTGGCAGAAATCATGCTGGCAAGAAGGTAATGGGATATATAAAACCCTGAAAGAAAAAAACCTGTCAACCAAGAAATTAGGACATGCTCAGATAAACAGAAATAAAGGATATCTATAAAAAACAGACCAACAAGAGATACTAAAGAAGTCCTTTGAAGAGAGGAGCAAGCAGAAAACAACCTGAGATTAACACACATGACATTACCCAGAAACCAATCCAGATGTAGAAATATACACAGTAAAATAAACCTACAAAAGTAAAAAACAGAACCACAGATACTGACTTATAAATGAGGATAACTACAAAGCAAAAAAAGCGGGAAAAAATAGTGTGGTTTCAAAACTTCCAAATGGAGAGAAACTCAAGATGATTTCAAAACAGAATGGATTGTCTTGAACTTGGAAAGAAAATAATAAATTACAGTGCAACCTCAAAGAAAATTAAGAAACTTTCTCCTCAAAAATAAAAAAGGTCATAAATATTTAGCAAATACCAACCAAGAGCACCACCACTTGTGTGTCAGTTTGTCATACAGTTGTGGCTTTTGTGTTGCTGTGAGGCTGGAAGCTATACCTCTGGGTCAAATACCAGCAGGGTCACCTATGGTGGACAGGTTTCAGGGAAGCTTCCAGACAAAGACAGACTTGGAAGACGGAAAGGGCCATCCACTTCTCAGAGAAATGGCCAGGGAAACTTTATTAATAGCAATGAAACACTGTCTGCCATATTAATGGAAAACTAATGAACAGCCCAGAAACGCTCTCCATTTTGTGTCAGAAGATGAGCTCCTAAGGTTGGAAGGCACTCAATGTGCAACTAGGGAAGAGCTGCCTCCTCAGAGTAAAGTCCACCTTAATGCTGTAGATATAGTAAAGCTTCTGGAGCCTCCATGTGCTGATGTGGCACAACTCAACATGAGAAGAAACAGCAGCAAACATCCATTAATAATCAGAACATGGAATGTACAAAGTATGAATCTAGGAAAATTGGCAGTTGTCAAAAAATGTAATGGAATGCATGAAGATCGATATCCTGGGCATTAATGAGCTGAAATGGACTGTTTTTGGCCATTCTGAATCAGATAACCATATAATCTACTATGTCGGGAATAACAAAGTGAAGAGGAATGGCATGGCATTCATCATCACAAATTCAAGATCTATCCTGAAGTACAGTGCTGTCAGTGACAGGATAATATCCACACACCTACAAGGAAGACCAGTTAATACTACTGTAATTCAAATTTATGCACCAATCACCAAAGCCAAAAACGAGGAAATTTAACATTT